TGAGATGACATGATGTGAATTGGTGCTATAGGAATAAACTGAATAGAATTAAATGTGGAACCAAAAGGTTCCCAGAACCCGATGAGATGATTTAACTCCAGCTGGAGCTGCAGTCGTTCCTAAGCTGCTGAATGGGGGCCAACCTGAAGCCGCTCTCCCTGAACTGGCTGACGTAGTACTGCAGGTCGGCCTCTGTCAGCATGGCGCTCCGAGGAATCTGCTCCGGCAGACCCACAAACAGCCCGCCTGCGGAACCCAGAACCCAACATGAGCCCCAATCCTTCGGTTACACCAACATCTGCAGCGGGAGGTCTTCTCACCTCGAGCACAGACTCCAGCGGTGCTCAGAGCGGGACGGCTCGCCTGAGGAAACGTTCGTCATCAGGTTTTATTCCAGCTGTTCTGACCCCTTTAACGGCACAGATGTTAACTCACCGCTTCACTGCTGCTGGAAAAGAAAATCTTGAATGTTCTCTCCAAGTCCTTCTCCAACTCGGCCTCGGCGACTCCCTGAAACACGGAGCAGATGGTGTCAGAGCTGCAGCTCGGACCAACGATTCATCCTTCAGTCAGGGTTAATAATGTGGGCAGAGATAGAAAAAAAATCTACAGTTTTCTACAAATTATTCTGTTCACGCTTTTCATCATTTCACTTTTTAAAGGCTGTTATAAAGCTGTTTTATTCTATGCTGGATGCATTTTGAAATAAACACCCAGAAAGTCTAACATCTTCTCACCTTAGAGGTTTGATCAAATGTTCAAAGATTTTTTTTAAAAGGTGTGTTTAATTATCATGTCAAACAGTTCATGAATGAATGTGAATTTATTCAGATAACAAGAATAAATGAATCAACCAAATAAGCACAAAAGAGACTAGTTAACATCAACCAAACCAAACACCAATTTCCAAACTAACTAAATGAACCTAAAAAAAGGAAACAAAAGCCTCCACCATAAACCTGTCTGCATATACAGCCACAGAAATGACATTTGATGTAAATTGTCTGAAAAAGGGTAATTAAGAAGTAAAAATTATTCATAGCTCCTATCCCTCTATGCGCACGTAAAAGTAGAGTAAACTTCCTGTCTTTTTTATCCAATATTTACACACACAGCCAAACAAATATATGCATATATACACATCTACATACATACATGTAAACAAACATATACATTGCTTCTACTCTTTTAGTTAAAATAAGAGATCAAGTTTTCTTTTATTTTGAAAATCCAGCACCTAAATTCTGGACTTTAGGACAAAGAAAAGAGAATAATATTTTAAACAATTTGCTGGAATCTTTAAGATCTGAGCTAAAGCTTTTAGATTATCATGGATTTGTTTGTTCATGGAGGGAAAACCAAGTTATGTGGATGAACTATTTTATTTTCATCCAACCAAAAGGAAACTAAACTAGAGTCAGTCAATCGGTCACTTTCTTTGACATTTTTTCTTTTTGAAATGTCTTCAAACTTGGAAACAAAGTCTAGTGGATTGTTTTTAACCTTTTTGGAATAACTATGACCTGGATAACAGAATTTTCACTAGCTCCTTTTTATTAGAAACCCAAAGAAATTTGATACAACTAAAAAAACAAACATGATTAAACAACAAGCATCTAATGCATAAACTAGATTAAATCTAACGTGTCCATCTTCTCTTATGTTTCCATAACGGTAAGAGAAAATAAAAAATGATCATGCATAAATAAAACATTTAGACTTTTTTGTATTTTATTATAACCTTGTTTCATTTGCTCTGTTAAGCTTATTTATGATGTCATAGCTCTTAGAAAACGAATTCCCCTCTAGCTTCTAAACCATTTATTCAACTATAATCCAGTACAGTCAGAGCTACATCTATTTGAGTTCAGCTCCATTCAGTCAGATTTGGTAAATCAAACAATGCTAATAATTAGAATGTTCTTTAGCTGAAAACCATTTTTGTTGCTTCAAATTTTAATTTTGAATCTCAACTTTTCTAAAATCAATCATTTAATCAAATGTGAAATCCTTTTGGGTCATTAATCGTGGTATTTTATTTGTGAATAGCTTAGCATCATC